TTTTACACCACATTCGCACATGACAGAGGTGCTTTGTAGATTACACGTTCTTTCTTCTTTTCCTTAACCCTCATGGTTCTTCCGGCCATTGGTTCTTAGGACCATACAACCACTCCTTGAAACGACACTTCGCCATTGAATACACCTAAATAATGAGACATAAGTACATAAACACATATAGCTCAAGATTTTAACACATACACTTTGCACTTACTTCATGCTTGTTTGGACACACAAACTCCAACGTATTCTCGTGGTTTATCACACCGATCTCCGCAATCGCACAGAGGAGGTTCCTCGAGTCGTCTAACGGCGGCTAGGTGCTTCTCCTTAGCCGTCATTGCCGGAGGGTTAGGGGGGGTGGAACCCACCGCTTGAAGTGATCACGTGGATGTCTCCCTCTAAACCAATCGTCGAAAAAGAGGTACCTAGGATCAAACTTTTCTCGCACCATCGATCCACTTCGAAAGAAAAAGCACCTCTCATGGTCCTACACAACGAGATTCCAATAATATATTAGTACCATACTTAAACAAATAAAGAAAAGGATAGTACAAATAATTTCTTACATTAAACCGACTACATGTGTAGAAGCAACGCTGGTCAGTGTCCGGATGTTTCGATTGAAAAACATGGGCCGGAAACCACAATCACAAGCTTAGGGACAGAAGGTCGGGGAATAGGGCATCTTTGCTAGACGCGTTGGGGTATAATTCACGAGGACGACCCGTGCCGCCAAAACTCCTCCCAAACATTTCTTGCATCTAACAAATAGGATGTAATTTAGCAAACATAAATAAAAACATCACAACAAAATATCGGTGAGAACCATAACTACAATACAATCAATTTCGTTATAAGAACCAAAAGCAGCTTAACATTATACCCTAAACCTAGGGTTTCTTATTTCATCCACAACAATAAAACCCATAACATAACTACATGCGGCTTGGTTTGCTAGCATTTTCACGCCTTTGAAATGAACCTACAGCTGTATAATACATATATTGAGGGATACAATGAAACCCTAAGTGATGACGATTCTTAGGTTCAAAAATCCGACTAATATATACCCTAATCAATGCGAAAAAAACAAGGAGGGGGGCGAGGATACCTTGCTCTCAAGATCTACTGGATCAAATCAAGGTTTTCAAGGTCCAATATGTCGATTCGTGAGGTAGGATGAAGTGGCGAGAAAAAAAAACCGAGGAGAAAGAAGAGGAAGAACGCTGTCGGGGAAGAAGGTCAAGGGGGGTTAAATGCAGTAGCTCGGCGCCATAGTGAGTGGCGCCGAGCTCTCACGCCATCCGCTCTGACGCCGAGCCCCTTGCAGGCCGTTTGCCCGTGGCCAGGAGCTCGGCGCCAGACACCGTAGCGCCGAGCTCGGTGCCACTCACTCTGGCGCCGAGCCAAGGGTCTATTTCTGGAATTCTTTTCCGCCAGGGGTCTATTTGAGAGAAATTTTCGAAAAAAGGGCCAAAAAGTAAAAAATTCGGCCAGCACGGCAGCACATAACATCTGTGATCTTACCCTCGTAGTTAAATGCATCGTTTATTTGTAAATAAGCCGTTAATCGATCCCTTGGTTTTTTAAGAGTACCATGTCGTCTGCAATCTTACCCTCGTAGTTAAATGCATGGTTTTTAAGAGTACCATGTGAATAAGGTAATTGGTTGTTCCAAATGTAATACTACTTCTGTCCCCAAATTTGATTAAATATATAAAACGTAGTACTATTTTTAATGCGAATAAATATCGTAATAGTAGAATATATTTTCAATATAAATATATTTCTTTAAAGACAAACACTGATTCTATTTTTTTATAATCTGGGGTTCGACTCCACAAATACACGCATTCTTTTTGTGCGGAGAGTATCTGTTCTCTTCAAGGGACGTGTTGACTTCGTATATCCACAGCAACTCGTAAGGACGACACTCGTTGCTCGATCAGCGTCACTGACGATATGACGGTGTGCGGTGTGCCCCGGCTGTGGGCTGTCGGCTGTCGGCTCGGACAAGGACCAAATCATTTCTCTTATCATTCATATTTTTAGCTTATTTTTTTAAATAAAATAATATTTTTTTCTTACAATAAATTAACTCAAAAATTGTTTCGACTTGTTTTTTCAGCGAAGCGAACGGCTCGGATCGAGACGAGACGACTCTGTCAATCCACGAGCACGTGCAGCTCTTGGATTAGGATTTACCGTGGCCCTCGGCCTCGGTCCAAGTGTCACGAGGAAAATGCAGTGATGTCGCTTGTAAACAAAAGAAAATAAATAAAGCATGGCAAGAAAGAGCACGAGGACTTGCATGGGCGGTTTTTGCGTGGAAGCTACGCGCCGCGCCGACCATTCTGCTGTACTAAAGGACGTCGTCAACGGGAGCCTGCACGCGCGGTCGATCTCATCCGTCGCCTGCGCGGACCGACGGCCAGGATGAGACAGCTGCTCCAGATAAATCCCGGGGCGCGAGAGGCCACGTGTCGTGTTGGCCGCCACCAAACCCTGTAACCTGCACCTGCCCGATGGGCCGGGCCCCACCACGAGACGGCGTCTGCGTCTCGCTTTGCACAGCGCAGTGCCTTTTCCTTGTCTGAAAAAGAAAACGGCCACGTCATCTTTTCTCGTTTCTTTGCTCTCGTGCAGGTCACCGGATTTGGTTGCCTAGCTGTGGCTGGGGTCCAGGCCACAAGACCGTGCATGAGATGGCACTGGCACGTACCAATTTTTTTTTCCCTCTCTAGGAAATGTGTTCATGTTGAGTACGTACAAACAAACAGCCTCATTTGTCCCTGGATAGATTTCGTGTGCTATGTGCGTTCGCTTACGTGTATTGGGATAGGTTATTGCATCGTTCTAGGAGAGTCGTATTTTCTTTTTCCTCGGGAGAAAAAAAAAGGTTCGTGATGAAATTCTAAAACGTCGACAGGAATTCAAAAGGTGCAGGTCTTGCTCAACCAAGACTGGATTCCACGGAAAAGGTAGAGAGACGATTGGACACGAGTGGTGGGCGACACGTTTTGAAAAAGCAGCCGAATTAAGGCGCGTATGGGTCGCATTTTTTGGTAGGTTGTCTTGTGGAGAATGAAAATATCAAACTATGACATTTTGTCATTATGTCTAGCTAGTGTTGGTTTGGAAGGTTTTAAGTTAGCTCAACCACACGAGTCTCGGCTCATAATTGTTTTATATGCTTTTGTGGCAACAACATTCATCTCTTATTGGACGCGTTCGCTGGTCTGGATGTTCCAGACCCGCCGGCTGACCCCCTCACACGACATTATTCATCAATCAGTCACTACAGTGTTTCTCTCTCACAAAACCAGCCAGTTTCAGTCAAGTTTGAATATGCGGACAAAATAACTGAAAAGTTACCGTCTTTGCCTAAAAAACTGTGATTAACTAAGCTTAATTGTGGCAAACTTATGCGGCAATCAAGCGTAACCTAAATCACAAAATTAATTTGGAAAAATTGGTATTTTTAGTTATTAGCAGTGAAGATTTTTTGTCCTCATCCCAAGACAAATAGGTGAAGGGAAATGTATGGTGGCAAGTGTGAGTTAGTTTATGGACACGACGCCGCCTTCTAGTCCCTCGCCACTGCCCCTTACGGTAACCGTGACCTCTCTCTCTTCCTGTGTGACGGACACGCTGGCGGTAAGAGAGAGTGGGACCTCTCTTCGTCATTCTAATATAGTTTTTAGAGTTTTAGATCATATTGAATAAAAGCCTATTTCGCAGGATGATAGATGGCATCGTCTTCATCAATTGCTCATGATCTTATTTATCCTAGAGATCTCTGGTGTGTGTGCCATTCTAGGCATCCAATCTTGTGGTCTTCATGCTGCTTCTATTTTTGCATGTCAATGCAGCTCGAGGATAGCTGAGTTCCCCGTTTGTATCTATGTGTTATCGCCTTGCTGGATTTCGATTTGGCGACCGCCGCGCTGGTATCTGAGTTTCTAGATCCACCAGTGTTGGTACTAGCGGCGCTTCTCTTGATCGTCTTCAACGGTGACACGGTTTGCTATTTTTTTCGTCGTGTCAGGCGCGTCTCAGAAAGTTTTCGTGGCGTTGCATCACACGGTGTTTTCAAGTTTTGGTGGCTATCGTAACGGATGCTTGGAGGGTTATGCTTCTTTTAGCTGTCGTGGGTATACTAAATTCCAACGGATTGAGATTAGATAATCGTCATCATGATTTAGAGATGAAGATTGTTACAAGAGTCTCTAGATATATATTTCTTTATTACGTCGAGAGACTCGCGTATAAACATGCATGTTATTGTGATATTTTAATGATAGAATCCAAAATAACATATTTTTTCCCATCCTAATAGTACAGAGTTTCATGATGTACGGAAAAACCCTCCGGCTCAGTGAGTGCGATTATATATTAAAAAAATAAAGTGGCGGAGAAAGAAAAGAGCGACAGACAAAGAGAAGGCTGTCCGAACCTGCTTCCCCGTTAATCAGTTTTCTTTAACCGGCTGCTGTCCATTTACTAATCAAATCATCATCCCCTTCCCCGCCTCCCCTTCCCGTCTTTTCCCTTCCGCGTCTCCTCCCCCCTCTTCCTCGTCTTCTTCTCGCCTCCCCTCCCGGCCTCCCCTCCCCTCCCCTCCCTCTCCCACCCGCCGCTTCCCGCCCCCGTGCCCTCGCCGAGACGGGCTACGAATTTTGCTCGGAGAAAAGAGTGTTTTTTCTCCCTTACCGTTTCTCCGGATCCGGGGCCGCAGCTGTTTCGTCCCCCGCCGGTTTTGCTCGATTTAGATTCCATTTCTGTTCGTTCGTTCTTGTCCCCTTGTTCGTTCGTTCGATTAGAGCTAGCCGCCGCCCGGATTCCTTGGTGCGCCGTCTGGATCTGGCCTCGCTGAGCCCCGGCTGCCCCGAATCCCGATTCGATTCGGCCCCCGCGCGGTGCCGTTCCTTCCGAGGCGTGCTCGGATCTCGTCGGAGTAGAGGGGAACGAAGCCTCGCGAATCGCCTCGGGGCGAGATGGATCATGTGGTCGGGGGCAAGTTCAAGCTCGGCAAGAAGATCGGGAGTGGATCGTTCGGGGAGCTCTTCCTCGGTGAGTTCCCTGTCTGTCTGTCCCCTCTCCGCGGATTGAGAAGATCCCGACCCCGTATCTTGTTGGGAGGAAAGACGCTCACTTTGTTTGCTGTTGTTGTTCGCAGCTGTGAATGTGCAGACTGGAGAGGAGGTCGCCGTCAAGCTGGTATTGGATTCTCTCCGATTGCTATTTATTTGTTACCATACCATAGAATTTGCCACGTCGGTCTATTTCGTGATAAGATCACTGAGATGCAAAAATCTAGCGAAATGAAATGATGATGGTCCATTTCAGTACTGTTTGTCAACACTGTTAGATGTTTGGGTTGGTGGAACCGATTGTCATTGGTGTTGCTGCTTTTATTGCACAGGAAAATGTCAAGACAAAGCACCCGCAGCTTCATTATGAGTCGAAGCTATACATGCTTCTCCAAGGAGGAAGTAAGTTAATGCCATAGAGCCTATCCACCCATCCAGTTTTAGTTATGGGACGGTACTCTGTGGTTAGTTAGTTGCTAGTATGATGCGCGAGTTGGGCTGACCTTTTCGCCCCCCTTTTTTGTTTCGTTACAGCTGGCATTCCACACCTGAAGTGGTTCGGCGTTGAGGGGGAGTATAATGTGATGGTGATTGATCTTCTTGGCCCTAGCCTTGAAGACTTGTTCAACTATTGTAGTAGGAAGTTCTCTCTGAAGACTGTGCTCATGCTTGCTGACCAAATGGTGAACACTTAATCCCAGATTTTTCAAACTGTTCCATTTTGTTTCTTAACTTTAACTTTAATCTCAGTTTGTTGTGCATAGGGCTGTCCTCTTTGTCTTAACTCTGTGAATTGCTAGTGTTAACACATTCCTTGTTTATCTTTCAGATTAATCGGGTTGAGTACATGCATCAAAAGGGGTTTCTTCACCGGGATATAAAACCTGATAATTTCCTTATGGGGCTTGGTAGGAAAGCCAATCAGGTCTGATCCTATATATGTGCTTAATTCTTGCTGTCCAACTCATTATATTTGAACCAAATGTCTTTACATGCATTCTGCCTCTTGCTTTGCTTGCGCTGCACTTGAGAAGCCCCAAATTCCTGCAGTAGTGATTTGGCTGGGTGGGGGTTAGTGTGTTATGTGATGTGTTGGTTACATTCGATGATGATTTCCTTAGCGTGCTTGTATTTTACAGTCTGCTACCTACAACTTATTTTTTTTATCTTTGGCTAATGCTGTATGGTTTCCTTAGCTATATAGCTGCTATTATGTTATATTCCAGAAAACATCTCTTCTCTGGAATTGAGATCTCTTGGTCTAATTATTGTTGAACTTACTGGCTTTTGTGGCAGGTATATATAATAGACTATGGACTCGCAAAGAAATATAGGGACCTTCAAACTCATAAGCACATCCCGTACCGGTTGGTCAGCATTACTCATCTGGGTTGCTAAATACGCTTAGTAAATGCCACATGTCTAATTTTCTTAAAAAAAAAAACGTATGAAGTTATGTGCAGTCATGCACAATGATACTATACCAAGACACTGTTCTTGTAGTTTTATGATGATGGGATGCTCATTTCAATATGCAGAGAGAACAAGAACCTCACTGGAACTGCACGATATGCAAGTGTCAATACCCACCTTGGCGTTGGTGAGTTTCTGGTTTCATCTGGCTAATTAGTTGGGTTACATTTTGCATAACCTCAGAGTTTACTTGGGTGCAGAGCAAAGCAGGAGAGATGATTTAGAGTCTCTTGGTTATGTTCTTATGTACTTCCTTAGGGGCAGGTTAGTTGGCCAACAATCTTTTCACCCATTCGTTGTAATGGTTCGGTTGGTTCCACACATGTTTCTGTGAATAGGTTTAACATTTCATTGGTGTTTTTGTCTTTGAACAGCCTACCATGGCAGGGGCTGAAAGCAGGAACCAAGAAGCAGAAATATGACAAAATCAGTGAGAAAAAGATGCTTACTCCCGTGGAGGTGGCTCATAAATTCGCTCTTGCTAATTCATTTTTTGTATGAACTGCAGTAGGCAGACATTCATAAATTGTTTATTATGGGTTAGGTACTCTGCAAATCGTATCCATCAGAGTTTATCTCCTATTTCCACTACTGTCGTTCATTGCGGTTTGAAGACAAGCCTGATTATTCTTACCTGAAGAGACTCTTCCGTGATCTCTTTATTCGGGAAGGTATAATTTTAGTGCACATGCTTGTTCTTTTGGTATTTTCTACTACGACATCCTGTTATTTGTATTTCTAATTGTGTCACTAATGCAGGATACCAGTTTGACTATGTGTTTGACTGGACCATTTTGAAGTATCCTCAGATAGGCTCCAACCCGCGGATGAGGGTATGCAATCGTCTTGTGTTTCTGTTTGATGTACGTTTTGTAGTTTGTTGGACTTATTCCATCTGTTTGTCATTGTTTAGGCAGGGGAAAGAACTAGTGGAGCTGCTGGACCCTCAATGGATAAGATTGAGAAGACCGCAGGTATTTCCTGCTCTTGAAAGAATGTGTAACAAATCTATGATACAAACCGGACACATGCTTGAGCATGATTTTTGTGCAGGAGAAGCGTCTGGTAGAAGGAATCCTAGTGGTTCTGTGAATCAGAGTGACAATTATGCACAACGACCACGTGAGACCGTATCTATGTCATTAAAGGAAATTGTAAGTTAAACTTCCCTTCGCCTCTTGTATGATCTATGAACATTTAGTGCTGTTGTGTCTTTGTTCATGCAGTCCTCATATATCTCATGAGCTTTAATCAGCATCACCCTTTTCTCCAGATGCATAGCACTGACCGGTCTGGGGAAAGGACTGTGGAGAGACCACGCACATCCTCACGCACAGGCAGTGCATCCCGCAGAGCTGTTGCATCAAGCAGCAGGCCAGCCTCATCTGTGGAACCAATTGAGCAGTATAACCGGACAAGCAGATTGTTCTCTAGCAACAGTGGCAGTCGCCCATCTAGCTCCCAGAGAGTTAACCCATCACCAGGCGAGTCAAGGGCTACCTCCCTCTCACGGGCGGCAGTTGCGAGAGGCTCCCGTGACGAGCCACTCCACCGCAGCCTGGAGCTTCTGTCCCTCGGTGGTGGTAAAAGGAAATAGTGGGAAGGAAGGAAGCGGGCATCTGAGAGCGGATGGGAAGAATGCTTGTTTGCGACTCTGTAAATGACAGGATATCACCTATTCGTCAACAGTTCCCCTGGGGCATCCCATAATTTCATAGTGCTCCGGTCTGTTGTACCATTGCTTCATAGATAGCAATAATTCGTTGTTAAATGTGTGCGTGTTGCAGTTGTTGCTGCGTTAGGGCCAAGTCCTAGCCTTTGTGACGATTAAATTTAGGGGTGGTCAAGATTCACATATTTATGTTTCTTCACCCCTCTCCTGGACTTGGCGACTTTTTCCCCCCGAGACCAGTGCTCGCGCATTTCTATGTTGAACTCTGAATTTGCTTATTCAACAGAAGTTGATAAAGAAGGGGACTTCCTGTGTAGATCGATGCCTCCTTGTTTTCATATACTGCTACAGTGACATGGCATGTTAGTAGTTGGGACAAAAATTGTATGTAAAGCTGTACAGTATTGCATGGTATATCATGTGAAGCAGAATCAAAATCCTGCTATTGCAAGATAATGAAAAACATAGCACCGTTGCAGGCTGCTATACTGTATATTCCCACTACAAAGTCAACCATGGTGCAGGTTGAGCATGCGAGAGCGAAAATGTTATATACTGACTGACGAGACTGTGGCCAGCTCAAAGGGTAGTCCTGGGGATTTTGGCCCAGAAAATTTTTACCACTTCTCACTCATGGCCCAATAGGCCAACCCTAGCCCAGCACCTGGGTGTTGCCTGAGGCCTGAGCTGGCTGAGCGGCTGAGCCTCACGCCCCTCCGCCTCCCGACTCCGCGCCAGCGTGCGTGACTCCGGGTCTGCGCCGCGCCGCCGCCCCTTTGGCCCTTTCCCGTTCCCCGTGCCTGAGCAGCCGCACAGAGTTGAGGAACAGGGTGGCCCGAGTCCATCTCCGAAGCCGGCGACCGGGGAACGCGAACGGACTCTAGGTTAAGCTTAACCCTAGAGCGAGAGAGGGCGAGAGAGGTCAGCCGCAGCCGGAGGCGATGGAGGTTGTGGCGCTGGTGAGCGGCGGCAAGGACAGCTGCTTCGCCATGATGCGATGCATGGACTACGGCCACAAGGCAAGGCTCCACCCGTTCACCCCGCACAACGTCCGCCCCTCGCCCACGGCTGGCACCGTGTTGAACTCTGCTGTTGCTTGCAGGTTGTCGCTTTGGCTAATCTTATCCCCCTCGACGACGCCGTCGATGAACTCGACAGCTACATGTACCAAACTGTATGCTCCCTCCCCTCGCTGTCACCTGGCGCTCGCTCTGTAATTCGGCCATTAGTAGTTGCTGGTATCTGGATGACGCTTGCTGATGCTCCTGCTTCTTGTGGCCGGGGTCGGGGAGGCTTCAGGTTGGGCACCAGATTGTGGTGAGCTACGCGAAATGCATGAGACTGCCTCTTTTCCGGAGGCGCATTCGTGGATCCACAAGGCAAGCTATCTCTGCGGGCCTATGACTGGGATGCTCTACAAATGATCCGGTTCCATTGATTCAAATTCTGTTTTTTTTTTGTTTTGGTATAGGGATCAGGATCTCAAGTATAGTGTCACGGCGGGTGATGAGGTAGAAGATATGTTTGCTCTGTTGAGCGAGGTTAAACGGCAAATTCCATCCATCAGCGCAGTGTCGTCAGGTGCTATCGCATCTGATTACCAGAGGCTCCGGGTTGAGAGTGTTTGCTCAAGGCTGGGCCTGGTCTCGCTGGCGTATCTATGGAAGCAGGATCAGACTTTGCTCCTAGAGGAAATGGTACTTCGAAAAATCCTGTTTATTGTTTTTACCTGATCACCTGAACTAGCACAGAAAGAATGTCTGCTGACATTGTAAGTCTTGCTATGCTGTTTACTGCTTACACAGATAAGAAGGGGCATCGTGGCAATAATTGTGAAGGTACATATTGTATTCATATGTTTACAAGATTTAGCATTTGTTGCAGTACAATGAGCGCCTGATTTCTTGAGCTTTGTAGGTTGCTGCACTGGGGCTGAAGCCTTCTTCTCACTTAGGTAAAGAACTGGCTGAACTTAAGTGTCATCTGCTCCAAATGAATGAGTATGTTTCTCACCACCCTGCACCTACCATATGTGTATCAGTCTATCCCCCACTTAGGAGGATTCATGTTAAAATAGTCGTTTCTTGTCCCTTTATCAGAAGTCATCCAACTTATGTATTAGTTGAGCTAAGGTACTAGCATCTTCTAGTGATCTCTGATCAATAACCAAGTAGTCTCAAGATATGAGATAACATAGATTGTAATTTTACCCTTATCTTCATGTTTGTTTCTCACAAATGATTTTCTAAATAAATACTGGATAATTTATTTTATCTATACTCAGCTTTTAATTTCTCTGTTTGTTTTCTTATGCCCTATTAGGAGTTATGGAATCAATGTGTGTGGTGAAGGTGGAGAATATGAAACACTAACTCTTGACTGCCCTCTATTTCGTGTAAGTTTGAGCCTTTGAGGAGCTAACTGAAAACCTGATGCCACTTGTTCTAGAATGCTGTGTAATAGACTCTAACCATTGCATCACATGGCGACTTGTTATTAGTTCTTACTGTCTACGTGCTGAACATATTTATCGACTTTTGTCAACCATCCATGTCAAATTTCTTGCGCCTTAACATGTGTGTACTTACAGAATGCAAGAATTATTCTCGATGACTCAGAAGTGATACTCCACTCTGCTGACTCCATTGCTTCTGTTGGAATTCTTCATCCACGAGCGTTTCATCTTGAGCACAAGCCAGATTCATCCGATAGAATTGAGGATGGTTCTGTTACTCAAGAGAGTTCTAGTTGTCTATATGAGGTTGATGAAGTTATCACTCACGCTGATGTGGAAGAAAAACAGTCCCCAAGTCCAGCTGTTGATGCTTGTACCAATATAGACCTATGTATCTCAAAGACAGGGAAGAATTTACGTTCAATTGGCAGTTGGATTCAGGATCCATCCAGAGCTTCGGAAGGTGCATACTGTCATCCTATGTTATTCGATTGGCATTGTTCTTTGCACCACGTGACACAGTGACAGGAACACCTCATTACATCTATTGTTTCTTTCTTTGTGGAACATTCATTTAATAATCTATTGCATCAATAGGCCTGAAGGCAGACCTTGTAGCAGTTTTGAGCAGAATTGAAAATCAGCTCAAGGAAGAAGGGTTAGGTTGGGTGAATGTTTTATATGTTCACCTCTACATTTCAAGCATGAAGGAATTTGGATTGGCCAATGAAGTTTATGTCAGCTTTATTACAGAAAAGAAATGCTACCTGGGTGTTCCTTCGCGCAGTACAATTGAATTGCCACTAGTTCAGGGTGGGTTGGGCAAAGCATATGTGGAAGTTCTAGTTTCAAATGAGGTGGTAAAGAGAGTTCTACATGTGCAAAGCATCTCTTGCTGGGCTCCTAGTTGCATTGGACCTTATAGCCAGGTACAAGATGCACGCGTTGATAGCAATTTTGCCTATGCGCCCTCTGATGTGAAATATCAGCCCATTTTCTTGGGAATGGTGGTTTCACAATATAACGTGTTGCTTGTCTTTTTTTAGTTATTTTTTTGGGTAGGATATTAATTTTAGGTCATAATGTTTTGATCTCTTTCCTTTTAGGCAACTCTTTATGAAGAGATTCTCTATATGGCTGGTCAGCTGGGGCTTGACCCTCCTATGATGAAGCTCTGTCCTGGAGGTCCAAGAGCTGAACTAGAATCAGCACTAAAAAATAGTGAAGCTGTGGCTAATGCCTTTAGCTGCTCTATATATTCCTCGGCCATTCACTTTCTGGTGTACTGCTCTGCACTGTTGACATCCAGCGAGAAGGAAGAAGTTGAACAGACATTGAATAGTTCTTATATTACTCATTTGGATCGCTCGAAAGCTGTATCATCTCCAACTGTTCTATATGTATTTGCACCAGATCTTCCAAAAGGGTATGTACATCTTCCCTTTTATATCCGATCAAGAAAGCAATATTCTTTGTACTGATATATTTGAAATGTGCAATAAAATGGTTTTCTGAACTTTGTCCAAATGTTTTTTTCCCCTTTTAAGAGCACGTGTGGAGATAAAGCCTATATTGTATGTCCCCTCCAATGATGATGAGGTTGCTACCATAGAGATGGAGACTGGAGTTCCACTGCCAACACTGAGCAAAGCTTGGACTGATTTGAGTGCACTATACTCTGAGTTGCGTGATTCATGTTGCCAGGTCCACACAATTGGTGGGAGAATTTGTTCTGCTGTGGTGTCGCTCACAGATGATATCGCATCAAAGATCTGTTCTACAGCTGGACAGCTATACCACAGAGAGAATTTGAAAACTATGGCTAGATTCTGTGCTTTCCAGACCGTGAAGATCCTGGCGGATAACAAATTTTCCTGGGACAGTATAACGGTAAGTTTGTCGCATCATTACTTGGTAGCTCTGCTCTTTTTTTTTTCTATTTTAAATGGTAGCTCTGCATTCATGTATCCTAACCAGCATTTCTGTGTTATAAAACATGCAGATGCTGAGGTTCTACTATTCGGTTGATCTCTCGGTGGCGGCAGATGCAATATCAGGAGCATTTTCCGAGGCATTTGCCGAGCTTGCGGAAGACAACAGTTCCACGAGAACTGACAAAGTTCCTTTCTACAACATTGTGCCGGTATCCGGATCTGGCCGCTCTGCATGTACGAACGATATAATGACATGCGAGTTACTGGCTTCCAACATTTCGAGTGCATAGTCCAAACCCAGTCTACACACGTATCCGAATTGTTCGCTGTGATGCCTGCTGGAATGCAGCTTTCATTTGGAAATCGGAGGTGGGTACATGCTGGAATTTCTGCCAGAAGAGGAGTCGGCGGCCTATCAATTGCCAGCTGGACGACGGCAGTTAACCATTTTCTCTAGGGTTGGCAATGGTAGCTTTCTGTGCTGATTATCGATAAAAAAAATCGTGCGGTGATCATCATAGATACACCATACTGTATTCTGTTTCTGCTTTTGTTTCAGCATCCTATATATTGGGCTGATTAGCCCGCCCTGATGCTTGCAATGACATTGGCTCAGTATACAGAGGTCCGGCCGGTCAGTAACGTGTGTATGTGTTCTTCCTCTGCGTTGACATTACTTGATATGGAACATGTTGCAGTTGGCGGAATTGAAGCCGCGTAGCTTACCTTGTCATGCGCACGTCTCTTGGCGATCGGATGATCGGATCAGGGAAAAAAATAGAAATGGGGGAACAAATATTCCAGGATCTACAAGTGGTTGACATAAACGAAATAACGATTTCCTTCTGACGATCTGACCAAATTGGGCAGATAAGCAGACTTAACAAAAATCTCTAATGGATCGGCGGGCAGTCACGCACATTCTGTCAACCTGGTTGTAAAACTGGGTCAGCAGCCGTCTGTGATTCTCTTCTCTGTATCTCCCGTCTCTCTCCTCCCTCCCCTTCCCCTCGTCTCTCTTTCTCTCACATCCCCCTCCCTGCCCAAATTTAGCCGTTGTAGCTTCCGCCCTCTCTCTCTCTCTCAAGGCTCTCAGAACACGAAACGTGAAGAGGCAGAGGAGGACGAGGAGACGGTTATTCTTGGCCGCGAAGCGATCTGTCTCCCACCCGAGCGCGAGGGACTTCACTTGATCCTCGCATCTTCTTCCACTAGTTGCGTTTGCATTTGGGGGCAGTCAAGATGAGGCTCCTGGCCTGCTGCTACAATGATCCGGAGATGCAGATCGATCCGGACACCGTCTACCCCATCCGCCCCGACTGCCGCGACGACGCCCCCAAGACGCGCTTCAAGCCCCGGGTATTTCTTTCATATCCTTTTTTCTTTCCTGTTATTATTATTAATTATTATCAGCTGCTCTCCGGCTCCCATGTTTAGTGGGCGAGATCTAATTGGTACGTAATAAGATCTAATTTTAGACTGGTGGTAGTCTTACTGAATGAAGTGGAACTGATAGATAGCCAGACTGAAATGATGAATCAGTCTAGTGAGGTATAATGGGCGACTGTTTCAGTCAGATTGAAGGCGCTTATGGGAGCAAATAAGTTTAACTAGTAGGGTAATTCAGAAACCTAAGGTCAATCTAGTGGTTACATATGAATATGGAATGTTGAAAAATGATACCTTTTAATGAAATTTTGTGCTTTACCTGTCAAATCGAATTGCCAGGAATGCTGATGACTGAGATCAGTTGATGCCATGTACTGATGTACACTGATCGCTAACTGCATTAATTGACTAGTTACTCATGAAGCGCCCTTTTGTTTCATCCCTACTGGCAGCCTGGCCTGACCCTCAGTCCAAGGAGATGGAAGCTTCTCCACAATGAGGAAGGTGTTCTGGACATAGCTGGAATGATCAAAAGAGTGCAACATGGGGTAAGCCATGCTTTATCCAGATTCATTCATGACCTTTGTGCTTCTTTCAGTGATATATGTCTCATACTCAGAAAGTTTACATGCATTTTGTGTTAAAAGCCATCGAGAATTTTTTCACGCGAAATGAAGATTAGGAATCCCTATTGGATGTTCTTTTATGTTTTGACTTGCTCAACCTGTTCCATAAGTCAACACAAGGTTTGATGGGCAAAACCTAGTCATAGCTATTTAGTGCTTTAACCAAGGACACCTACATGGATACACACTCTTTTATGGAACTAACTTACCTATACCTTATGACCTCTCCAACAGGCAACTATATGCATTCCAACCTCTGGTACCTTTCCTCAGTCTCATTGCTAACATGTTCTCCTTGTGCTCAATTTCTTGTTCATTAATTTCTCCTTCTGGTTTTGCTTAACGTAGCAAGTTCACTCTCCTTATAAAACAGGCTTAACTTTTTTTTTTCTTTTCTTTTCTGAACGCAATGGTAGGAGCTTTGCCTTTCAATTAAGAAGAAATAGAATTGACCCACAAAACAGGCTTACCTATATCCTATGACCTTTCCAAGAGGTTACTCCATGTGTTCTAATATAGTCCTCTGTACATTTCTTCTTGTTCTTCTCAATGATGATTTTTCAATATGGTGTGTCCCTATTATGGCCTTCACTGCTAATATGTGTTCTTTTTTTATGCCGAGAATCGTTACTATGTCATGTGATTCCTTAGATTCATTCTGCCATGGTATTGTCTTTATTTTTTGATGTGCAAACAGGGAGTCCACCCAACAATCAAAGGAGAAGTTTGGGAATTTTTGCTGGGCTGCTATGACCCTAAAAGCACTACTGAACAGCGCAACCAATTGCGACAGCGGCGAAGTTTTTTCTGCTGTTGCATTTTCCTTTTTGGTTTAAACATGCTTGTTCTTCTTCACGTCTAAAATATGTCAGTTTTAATTGCAGCACATCATTTTATATAACCAATTGCATCATGGCACACTGTTTTGTTCTTCAAGAAGTTCAGCACTGTTTTATGTGGCTCACGTACTATTGAAGTCTATTTACACATCATATCCAAAGATGAGGAATATACTGATTTTCTTATTTTGATAGGTTAGAGTACGAGCAACTGAAATCAAAGTGCCGAGAGATGGACACAACAGTCGGTAGTGGAAGGGTAATCACTATGCCTGTAATAACAGAAGATGGTCAACCTATCGAAAATCCTAACTCCAATGGAGGGGCAGCAGGTTCTGAACAGCAAAACAATGGCGCACCACTCCCAAAAGAAGTTATTGATTGGAAGCTTACTCTACACCAGATTGGTAAACACTGTTGCTCTTTTTTCAGCATCTCCTATATCTATCATGGGCTTCCCAGAGCCTTTCGTCAAGGGGGAGGCAAGAGACAGAGAGCACTACCCCGTAAACCTGCCTATTCAGTAATGATATGTAATTCGGCCTGCTCGTGGGACAAGGAGGTAGCTAGTCTGCACTTGGGCTGCCCAAACGTCCCCTCCAATAGGCCTGGGATAATTAGGCTGATGACTGGTGTCTATAATTTTTATTTATCTAATTTTCCACTATTCAATTGTAGGTCCTGATGTTAACCGTACTGATCGTGCACTTGTTTATTATGAGAGACAAGAGAATTTGGCAAGGTTGTGGGACATTCTTGCAGTGTATTCATGGATTGATAAAGACATAGGTTATTGTCAGGGTGAGTTACGTTGTTGAAATAGATATTTTTCTGTTAACCTAGTTTAGTTATACAATGCTTTATCATGTTATACTTTGCTTAATGTGTAGTTGTTTGAACTTGCTTAATCCTCCTATGCAGGAATGAGTGATCTTTGTTCACCAATATCAATCATTCTGGAACATGAAGCAGATGCTTTTTGGTGCTTTGAGCGTCTAATGCGCAGGGTGGTAAGTACCCTTGCATACTTAACCTTTTATTCATTGAACATGAATGTACATATCCTTGATTGCATTCTGCTAACATACTGTATAGTAAACTTTCAGTTGATTTTTTTGGGTATATGTGATGTAATGACATTATAAGATCGAGAAGTTAGATACTACAGAACTGCACTTATAACACAATAAGTCAAGATGGTTATTGTACGTTACATTAATCAGCGTGCTTGTCCTTCTGCCCCCCCCCCCCCTCCCTGCGCACGCGTGCATAAATTAGCATGGCTACTGTGTAGCATATGTCCCTAGTTTGGCTTTGCTTAATGTTAAGCTGCGTGAATTGGTCATCAGGATTTCTTTGCCAAAAAACTGTCAAGAGACATGTATTTAATAAAAATAACAACAGAACACCAGGGTTGAATCCATGTTAGGTAGCTATTTGATGTACTCCAGATATTAACAGAAAAAAACTATGGTCTTCTAGGCCACACAACGCATATACAATTCTGGAGTATGTAAAAGCCTGAGTTTCTACCTTCTAACTATGCAGCGAGGAAATTTCAAAAGTACTTCTACTTCCATTGGAGTTTGAGCTCAACTGACTACCTTGTCAACCATAATGAAATCTGTTGATCCAAAGCTGCATGAACATTTAGGTACAATCACTGGAGCTACATGTTTACTCAATGGCTCAAAGAAAACAGTATCTACATTTTACAGTAAGGGAGCATGTATGTATGCTCTGATAAAATATTGTCTATGCAGAAAATCTTGATGGAGGGGAATACTTATTTGCCTTCCGAATGCTGATGGCTCTTTTCCGAATGCTGATGGCTGACACTTTCCGTGACACTCGGGGAATTCCATCGTATCTTGTCAAGTGTCAAATCTACAAACGACCGATGTTTCGAGTCCCATTTTTGCAAATCGCCCACTTCTTAACAATTCAATCTGGGTACCACTAATATCAAATCATTACTTTTGTTATACTTCTAAGTATAGACCCAGTAATGCTAGAAATATGTATTGGTTTATGCATGAAACACTACTGTACAACTTCAAAATGTTGCAGCTCATGTGGTCTATGGAGTACAATCCAAATCTCTTTTCGATGTTGGAGAGTGGCACTGGCACATCCAGCGCAAACACAAAGGATGAAAGTGTTCTAGGACAGTGTGGAAAGTTTGAGCGGAAAACATTGCAAGCAGCTAAGAAAGATGACCAGATCCCTCTATCTGTCTTTGTTGTTGCTAGTGTTATAGAGGCTAGAAACAAGAAGTTACTGGGTGAGGCAAAAGGTCTAGACGATGTTGTCAAGGTCCTCTCTGTCTGTCTGTCTCCCTCTCTCTCTCTATATGATGATGAAAGAAATTTATGTTGTGTATATGTCGCCCTGCAAACAGATTTTAAACGAAATCACTGGTAGTCTGGATGCAAAAAAGGCATGCAAAGGAGCATTGCAGATTCATGAGAAGTACCTTAACACGGTGAGTCCTTTTTTATTCATAAAATTCTTAAACAACATATAGTCACGCCACAGTATAACACAATGAGAAGTTCAAAATAACCACAAGCTTCCTGATTGCAGGTAAAAGCATCATAAGGACATGTACAGCTTTTTTTTTTTATTGGAGAAGTCGTACCACATAACTTTTTTCATTCTTTGTTTGTGTATTGTGTAATTCTTTGACACACTTGTAGCATTGCATTTACACAACAAAAAAAGAAAGGTTGATGATTTCATTCAAAAAGGGAAAAAAAAGATGGAAGAAAAAAATGTTGATCTAGTAAAGATGCGAGGCAAAATGTTTATACCATAATAAAGTCATCATGATTCTTTTCTGCTTGTCGTCGGTTCTCATACTGCAACAAGTTAGTTCATCTTTTTTGAACAATATGTGGTACTTTGAAGATAAATGTTACTGTATGACTGTATACGGGTGCATTGTGGGTCTTGAAAAGACCTACTATTTCATTGTATTTAGCCAAAATTTCTCCCAATTCTGTAGCTTTCGATGGTTTGGACAAGTAAAGTAGAAACCAAAGTGAAATTACAAGTAAATGGAATCGGAGCGAGGCCTTTGTGGTCTAAAATCAAACGAGAAAAATGGAAAATATGAAGAACCCTCTAGTCCTGCAAATATCGTATTTCCTATGTAAATATGAAACTGCAATGTAAATATGAAACTGCAATATAATGGATGATCTACCCATTTTCCTAAAACAGGGGGGCAGGCCCTCTGTGTGCAGCAAGTTAAGATCATCTTGGTGCATTGAATCTCAAATCACACCATGTATTATGGGACTGACCAGAATCAAAAGTCACAAGTAATTTAGCAATTTGTTGGCTTTATCAGTCGTAACTCGTAACTAACATACTATATATGGGAAATGGTAATACGGGAGGTCGTGATTGAGAGCCTGATGACTTTCCACCTAAGGTGATGACTCCTGATTCTTAAGCAGTACTACCCAACATCCATTCCCGTCATTTGCGTTGCGGACAAGTTGAACAGAGCCACGCATGACCTCTCAAACTGGACTGCCTCGTGATGAACTGCAAACAAGGGAACATTCACCAAAAATAGTGCACTATAAATAGATTGGACGCAACAACTTTCATCCCTTCCATTTCTCCAACTAAGAAGGTGGGAAATCTAGGCCTGCCTCTCGTGGACCTCTGGAGGGGACTGCAATTCTGCTAATTTGTGACAGATCATGCAGGAATAGGAGGCCAAGAGAATTTCTACAACCACGATGAAGATGGCACCAGGACGATGAAATCCCGTCGACCGGATTATGTAGCTCCTTGAATGTTGCTTCCTTAGGTATGTGAGCTTCATTCGATGGGTCTGATAATTGTTCTGATAAATCATTTAGCGGGTTCTCATAATGAGCGTTCATTGTTGCGTGGTGGATGGATAAAATTTCTCAGCATTGTTCGCAATGACTTCATGCATGGCATCATTGATCTGCATGGTTCTCTTATAATTTATATATAAACTCAATATTCAGGCTAACAACTGGCCATTTCTAGGATTTCTTTCCCCTCATGTTGTTTGACAAATCGCATCATGTTTTTACAAACAAATTTTCTAGAATGGCACAGGACCTTGGTCGTTCTAGTTCAAACAAACTAGACAGAGAACTGTTGGTGCATTCTTATGATTTGGTATATGTTCCTTTCCTTCTCTCAACATTGTGACCTACCTGTGAAAGGCAAGTTCAAGAGTCGGAGGACGCAAATACGTAAGTGGTGGATTCCTCTCAGGGCACCGCGGGCGGGCAGCCGCCTGTGGAACCTGCTAAGATGAAGGGCCTTCTCAAGGGTCTCCGATACATCTCGCAGATTTTCGGTAAGCACAGTCACCAACCTAGTATACTACAATCAGTTTTTTCTTCCAAAATGTAATTTCCAATGCCACCCAAATGGAATGTGTTTCATAGCACAGTTCAAATCAATGCAATGGAAATGTAGGAATAGAACCAGAATGTGGGTGTTGTAATTAAGATGTTTACCTTGTCTGCTGTGCGGGTGTCGCAGATGCGAAGGAGCCAGAGATGCAGATCGGGAAGCCGACGGACGTGAAGCACGTCGCGCACATCGGCTGGGACAACGCCTCCGTCACCGCGCCTAGCTGGGTAACCGCTTCGATTCCACCCGCGATCACGCCATTCCAGTGCACCACGCACGTCCGATCTCCAACTAACGGCTCCGGTTGCGCGTGTGCTGCAGATGAACGAATTCAAGGCTTCGCCGGGGACGGCGAGAGGCGGCGATTCTGAGCCTTCGCAGCCCGGGGGATCGGGAGGATGCGTAGAGGAGCAGACCGGAGGAGGAGGAGGAGGAGAAGACGCTGGCGGCAAGGCGGAGCGGCCGCGGCGGACGAGGGGAAACAAGGGGTCGGGTGGCAACGAGCCGGCGAAGCGGCGGGACTGCGCGGCCGAGGGGTCGCGGCGCGACCGGCGGGCTGCGAAGGCGGTGGACACGGCGGAGGGCGCCGAGGGGGACGCTGCGGCGGCGCCAAAGCAGCGGCGGAGGAAGCCCCGGGCGGCGTCGGGGGGCAGGTCCAAGTCGTCGTCGGGAGGCGCCGCCGCCTCGGACTCGGAGGCGGCGCGGCCGGCGGGGGCGCCGATGGAGGCCGAGGACGATCGCGACGGCTGCTGAGGCCTGACCGCCTGAGGCGGAGGAAACGCTGGCCGGTGGGAGCGTGTGGCGTGGCGCGGCGGAGCGTGGCCGCGCGCCGTTGCCCTTTGGGGTTCGACTGGTATACTGTACACGGAGGGAGGGGGGCATCTTCAAATTTGAATTTGGGCTTGGCTGTCTGGAGATCGGAGAGATTTGGGCCTTTTTGTGTTTTCTCTTTTTTTATTTATTATATGATGGTTTTCGACTGGTCATTTCCATGCACGGATTATTGCTCTTTAGGAGTCGTGCAGCGTAGAGTGGCACGACAAGTGTATCTATAAACACTTGATTATAGAAAGCAATTCTTTCCATGAAAAAGACCACAGTTTATACACACACTGTACCAAATGCTAGTTGGGACTCCTCGTCTTAAAAAAAGCCAGGATGAAACTGGCATCCCTCATCTCTCAACTCGACTTCAAACAAGCACATGCGTATAAACCGATGGAAAATCCGCCGGCACGGCAAGATCCATGCAGCCCGAGCCTGTCGGCCCGGCCCAAGCATGGCCCGGCACGGAGGCTAGCGGGCCTGGGCTGGCCCGGCCCGGAGGAGCAGGCCGTGCCTGGGCCTTACCCCAGGCACGTGGGCCGGCACGGCACGGCCCGCTACAGTCGAGCCGGGCGCCTCCCCGCACCCCGCATATATAAGCGGGGACTCCGCTCGGCCGCCTCCTCCCGCGTCACCCCAAACCCTAAATCCTACCCGCGCGGATGCGGCGCCCTCTCTCCCTCACGCGCCGTTGCTCTCCCTCACGCGCCGTCGATCTCTCCCTCCTCCACTCTCTCCCTCCGGCCCTCCCTCCACTCTCTCTCGGCGCAACAACGGCGCCCCTCTCCCTCCCTCTCGCGCGGCCCCTAGCAGCCCCATCTAAGTTATGTTCTAGACTTACACGTCAGTCTAAGATTTAAAATTGTTGCTTTTTAATGCAATTATTCCAAGAATAGGCGGCATTATTTTTTCAGTTAGGATGAAGATAAAATGGCAAAATGTAGTGAAGTGTCTATAGTAACCTTGTCAATCTTAGGGTCTACTTGTCATTCTAAAGAGTATAAGAGTTTGTAAAGCTAAAGACTCTGTTTAGAAATGATAGGCATATTTGACATGAGGAAAAGTCAGATTTTACAATTTGTTACCAATAATTAGTCAAACTATATGCAAATTTAGGACATAAAACTTACATCTACATATTTATATTCAAAGTGGCTCCAAGATGATATTGATATTTTAATATTTTATATTATATAAGAGAAATTATTGATCAATATCTTTTTTACGACTTTTTCTCTAGTCAATTAGCTATCATTCCAGGACGAAGGGAGTAGATAAATGTGCTAGCGTGTATGTAAGTATTCCAAAAACAACCATAAGAGATGCTACATGAAGTTTATCTCTCACTCTCACATTGCCTTCATGAGATCATTGCCTTGAACCGGTGTCAAAAGAAATCAATAAAACAATTTATTATGGGCATTATTTCCTTTTAGGGTGGAGAATATTTGGGAAAGTATATGTTGTTCTTCTAATATGAAGAAGTCATTTTTTTGTCCTTCAATCGAAGTTTAGGTTTTCTCCTTGAACTCCAAAATAGGACAAATTGTCTTCCTCAACTAACAAAATTATTAAGATTCCCTCTCTACCCCCAAGTTAGATGTGGCTTTCAAGGTGGTTTTATTATTTTTTAATTCAAAAAAATCTAGTTACACCTAGTAAGATTTTTAAACCACATAAATATCACTAAACTTATAAATCATGAGAAAAATCCAAGAGACATATTAAAACATGATAAACCAAAATAAAATATTTAGAGCTCATGAAAATATACCTAGAAGATTTATGAATTAGATTGAGCAATAGAAAAATAAGAAAAATATCCTGAAAACTCCAAGAAAAAATTTGAAAAAATGTTTTAACAATGCTAAAAAATTTTACTACAAAAATATGCATTCATGCAGGTTGATATTGTGTTTTTACTATAGAAAAGTTTTTTAAAAAAAAACATGTGGGCATTGTTAGCTCTAAATTATTTTGTTTTGTTTTCTCAAATCCCAATTTATCTCTTTGTTTTTTTCTTGAAAGTTTTAGAATCTCAGAAATATTTTTAGTGGTTGAAAAAACTGATTAGGTATTTCCTATAATTTTTTATAAGAATGATGAAACCGCCTTGAAAACCAACTCTAAGTGGGGCAATGAGATAACTCATGATCTCATGGAGTTAAATGCATCAGCGGCTCTTGAACTTGTCAAGAGGTTCCAGTTAGGTTTATGAACTTTAAAGATATATTTTTAGATCCCTAAATTTATTAAGATGTGCATCGTGCATCCCTAAACTTGTAAAATGGTTGGCGAAAACTTGCCATCAGTTGGTTCAGGGACCTCTCTTGCATTTAACTCTAATTTAAATAACTTTTAGAGTTAAGGGAAACAATTTGTCTAGTTTTAGAGTTCAAGAAGGGAACTTATATACTCTGGCAATAATATAAGGAGGCAAATTTTACAATTTTTTCTTCCGCCTTCCCCGTTCACCGTATGACAATTGCGGCCCAAGCTTACCCCCAAACAAGCCCTTCACATCTTGGAATGATGGGGTAATTTCCTTTGGAGGCCGGAGAATGGGCCGAGCGGATGAGTGGGAGTGGCCATCACACTCTTCCACGCGCCGGCGCAACCATGGGGCTCTTGGGCCCAGCGGCTGTCGGTTCCGCTCGCGGCCGGGCTCCTACCTAGCGCCGGAAGGAGCTCCGCGCCTCTCTCCGATCCCTCGGCCGCCGCCGGCCACCCGATTTGACGTCCAATTCAGGCAGCCGGTGGTCCCGGAGGTGTGGCAGCAGGCCGGCGCTTGATCGCCTTGACAGATCGACGCATTTGGCATCGGCAGTTCAGCTCGTTGTCGGCCTTGGCAAGGTATCCACTATCTCTCCGGCAACCCGGACATCCGGTTGCTCCATTCTCGTCGCGATGACAATTAATTCACCCGCTCATGACAGTCTAGCTTGTCCTCCTGATTCCACAAAACAAACATGTCTTTGATTACGTGTTAACCTATCTTTTGTTAGTTTCCTGCAGCTGCAAACCCGCAATGGTGGATATCTGAATTCTGACCACTGCAATGCTACCAACCTCGCTCAATCAGTGAAACTCTGAGACCCAAAGCCAGCAGGAATCTTTTTTGCTGCTACTAGTCATGTGCTTGCGATTATATGGAAAGAGAGCGCGCGCTAAGTCCAGTCGTTTGTACGCTTATGTGTTTCAGGAGGGTGCTCCCGGGAATGGGCCTTATTCTTCTGGTCGACAGAACTTGCCATCAGTTCGGTCGTCATCTTGGGTTCATTGGTCGTCATCTTGACCGAACGGGCTTCATCTAAAGATATGATTTGTCCGGCTCCGGCCACGACCGAACGCAAGCAAGCAAGCGGTCGTAGAATCAACCCGTGAAGAGAATCTTTTACACTTTCCTCAACGCTCCTTATCTTTGGGCACTGGTTTGTTTGCAAAAAAGACCTCCACTTTATCAAAAATCAACTCAAGCTCCCGGACACTCTCACAATCCTCGGATTTTTCAAATCAAAATACAGCCAACTTTGATTATATCTTTTTTTTCTTTACGTTATGTTGCAAGCACAGCGGAGATATGGAAGAGAATCTTCTGCTCGATCTTATCTTTCTTGGCCAATTGAATTGCTTGCGATTGCAAGCACAGCGGGATAACAGATACACTCGCGTCACATTTGCACCTCAGCACCTCTGAAAGTGGGGTGCGCAACAAGAAGTGCCACCCACTGAATTGAGCCTGAACAGCTTGAGCAACTTTCAGAAAACAGTGGGGGAAGCGTCATTTCAGACACATTCCTCCCGTGGTGGCGTGGTCTCTTTCTCCACATCATCCACAGTGCACAAGGCTACCTAGCGCATCTCACCTGCACTGCACTGCACCTTTTAGTTGTCTTCGGCCTGCAACAGTATTATTTTGCGCTAGCTTAAGCTATATATCCCGGAGAAACGGACAGCTCACCCGTGGTCATTGGTCAGGTCAGGAAGTGGACAATCGTTTTAGATTGATCTCTAATCCTAACCGGACTCAATGGCCCAGTTGGGCCTTTGATTCACGCCCTGATCAGGGGCGCCTAGCCCACCATGGTTGGAGGGCCCCTATCACACTACGCTATAAAAAGAGGTGGGGTCGGCGGCTCTGATTACGAGGGTGACCTGAGCCGAGCTCCCCACCGACAAACCCTAATCCGATCTAGAGGGCGCGCAGAGCGGTGGCGGAAGCCACCACCACGCGCCTCCCGGGATCGTCACACCGGACTTCACTGCCTTCACCGCCGGTCGCCATCGCGCATCACCGACACCGTCTTCACCGACCGTCGCTGCCCGTACGCAGACTACACCGACGAACGTGATGGCGTCCTCTGAACCTTCCCCTCTGCGGTGTCAGGTTCAACACCTTCTCCCTTCCCTCTCTGTCTCTCTAGTTCTACATGTATTAGGATGTACTGCGTCTCTTATCTCGAATAGAACCACTCTACCGGCTAGATCTATGATCCTAGTGATCCTATAGCTTCTACAATGGTATCAAAGCCGGTCCCTTAGGTGTACATCTCGGCAGAGGTGTTAGAAAAGAAAGAAAGGTCAGATCCGGTTCCGATCTGAGAAGACAAAGGGTTCGGTTGAACCCTAACCCTAACTGGGTTAAGGAAAGGAGAAGAAGAAGAGGGTTTCGGCCTTAAGAACGTAAAAGCCGAACCCTAAACCCGTGAAGACTTCACGGGGAAGATAAACAGTGAAACCCTAACAAGAAAAGAAACCCTAACCCTAGATCCCCAATCGGTTGAATCCGAGAAGAACAAAATAAAGAAGCAAACCTAAGGGGGATGTTGGGGAAGGGGAGGCCTACCTCGCCATTGCACAGAAGGCCTTCTTTGCCTCACCGGCCTGGGAGAGAAGAAGGCCGAGCCGAGCCGGCGCCGTCATGGCTG